TGTGTGTGTGTGTGTGTGTGTGTGTGTGTCTGTGGTCCTGAATATTTTAGAAGCAGCAATGGCTTGTCAAATTCTCCTCATGCTTGAAATCTGTTTTTCAGGGCTCATCTGATTACACTGGGCCTGTCTGAATAATTTCATCATTTTTACTGGTTCCAGAGATTAGAGCATAGACATTATTAGGGGTTTATTATTCTGTTTACCATACCATCTATTTCTGTTCAGGCTGAACTATATTGCCTTCTTATGACACAGGTTAGGACCAGTAATCCCATGAAATTGAGATAAAAGTTGGGGTTTTCCTAACTTGAGAAAATAATAGTTTTAAAGTCCATACCTTTAACCTTGTACCAACATTCAAGTGATGAGTTGCAAGGTTTAGGGAAGAAGGAGAAGAAAGGGGATGATAATGATGATGATGATGATGATACTAAAATGGGGAGGCAAATAAAAATTCAGTTCCACGTGATTAAGCACCACAGTAGCAAAACTTAATTATACTCGAAATCAAAATGCCAATTCATTAAAACTACCAGATTTTAGTGCCCGATGTGTGGGCATATTGTACCCTTCAAAATACCAGTTCTGAAAGTCTTAAACATTTAAAATCCAATTCAATCTTTTCCCAATCATCAAAATATTATTAAATATTACTTTCAAATGCCTTTATAATGGTTTCACAATTAGCATGTTAATGTTAATGACTTGAAGTACTGTTTCCTGAGTACTTTATGGCTGATAAAAGTTTTTCAGGCCAAATATCCTTTGATGGAACTTTAGAGGTTAAGCTAATTATGTAATTTGAAGAATTCCAAATGTTTTGAGAGAGAGAGAGAGAATGGGTACCAAGTGATCAGAACACAAACAAAACACTGAAAACAATTTTGTCAAAACCAAAGATTCTGAAACTGAATGAAAAATTTCTGACTGGAACCTAATGATTCATCAGACTCAAATACTGTTAACTTAAATATCTGAGTCTGATGAATCATTAGGTTCCAACTGGAAATTTTATCTAACTTCACATATCTGTATTTTTACTCAGATATGTGCAAAATAATAAAAACTAGGAGACAACTCAAAAATCCTAATTATGAAAAATCAAAAGAACCAGAATTAGAAGTGAATGATTAAGTCAACAAATTTCTACCAATGTTCAAAATTTAAATCTTCAAAACATAATCGTTATTCACATATTTAAAGATTTCAGGTATGAGAGAGTTCAGTTTTGGACACAGACTACTGCAAGAGACTATTACTCCCACTCGAAAAAAAAAAAAAACAAAAAACCGTCACAATATTTTTTAAAGGTACCTAAGAGCTGAGTTGGCGAACCAACCAGGTAACCTGAATTCCAAAATGTGACAAGCCCCTGAGGACAGTGGCATACATACCAACTGCTTTACCTTTTGCAAGGCATGAAGAGAAGAGGTAGTAATCATGTAAGCATATAAGAAAAAGAACTAAAATTTTACTGAATTCTTAAAGATTTCATATATAGAAATTGCAAGACATTTTGATAGAGAATAATCTGTAAAGTCCTTCCTAATAATAAAATAATTTAAAATAATGAATAGCTAACATTTAGCATGTGTTCACGAAATTTTAAGCATTGTATTAACATTAGTACCTATCATGCTTTATCAAATTAGACCTCACAACCTAGTATGAAAGGGCTGTTCGTTTCCTTGCTTAACAGAAAAAACAGCACAGAGAGGTTAAGTAACTTGTCCAAGTTAACAGAGCTGGTGAATGGTAAAGCTGCCTCAAAGAGAGGCATCTTCACTACAGAGCCTGGATCATAATTACATGTCTCTTCTCTAATCTAGACACAGTTTCTTAATGCAATTTAAATTGTTAATTAATGATTTATTTTGTTCAGTCTTCACAGGGAACAAATTAGAACATTCTCCCGTTTCTTTTAGATATATCAAGACAGAATGCTAAGTCATGTTTAATACAGAATTTAACACAAACTTTTTACTGTACAGATTATACTACCATTACTTGATTTAAGGGTAATATATGACTGTACTCTACATGGGAAAAGTGGAAAACAGAGTAAATTTGAATCCGTTTGTTCTTGCCCCATCTGCCTATCTTAGAGCATTAAATTGCAATGAATTAAAGATCTACTTAGTTCCAAGCATCATTCATTCATTTAGCAAATATTTACTGAACCCCTACTATTTGGTGAGCTCTGTTCAAGGGGCTGGGGATACAAAAATCCAAGAAAGTCCCTGACCTTAAAAGGTCTAGTGGGAAGAAACAGGCAATTAAAAAAAAAAAAAAAGGGGGGTGATAAGGGCTATGTAAACAGGTAGCTGCCACCACTACAGAGAATATCAGTTCTGGAAAAAATTATTCACGATTAGTTTGGCTACACGTAACAGAAAAGTCCAATATACCTGAGACTTACACAACGCAGAATTTATTTCTCATGTAAAAGAAGTCTTGAGATAGGTGGCTATGGTAAGTTATCAGATTATCAGAGGCCCAGGCCCCTTCTCTCTAGTCCACATCCTTAGCAGGTGGCTTTAATCCTTATGTTCCAGGACAGATGCTGGAACTTCAGGAATCCTATCATCATCTAGACAGCAGGATGGAGAAACAAAGAAGGGTGGGCCTTCTTCCTTTTAAAGAGATGTAAGAAACGGCTGGGCACAGTGGCTCATGTCTGTAATCCCAGCACTTTGGCAGGCTGAGGTGGGAGTTCAAGACCAGCCTGACCAACATGGAGAAACCCCCTCTCCACTAAAAATACAAAATGAATCGGGCGTGGTGGTGCATGTCTGTAATCCCAGCTACTCAGGAAGGCTGAGACAGGAGAATCACTTGAACCCGGGAGGCGGAGGTTGCGGTGAGCCGAGGTTGCGCCATTGCACTCCAGCCTGGGCAACAAGAGTGAAACTTCATCTCAAAAAATAAAAATAAAAATAACATCAATCAGAAAAAACAAGATACATCAGTAGCAATCACAATACAGTTCTTTATGACCAGATAGCAACCTCTATGTACCTACTAAACTCGTCCTCAATGGATACAATTCCTTATGTTAAAAAGAATCTAATGTACCAATTTAAACTTGCATTTATTATGTTAAGGCAATAGTTATGATTAGAAGGAATGCAAAAAAAAATTATTCCCATATTAGGAAGATGAAGTATTTCTGTTACCGGGGCAAACTATTAAACTGATTTTCAAAACTGACAGGCTCTCCCTGAAGTCCTAGAGAGGATCTTGTGTTCACTAATTCAGCTGTTGCAAGTATTCTAGCTCCCCAGGTAACTCCTAGTAAAACCAAGACTGAACAAAGCTATTTCTCATCTTTAAATTTAGAATCATCTCATCGATTCCTATCTATGAGATCTATGTCTGAAGTGGGCTCTCCCAATTATTTTACATCTCAAAACTGTTTATTCTCATTATGGCATCTTAAATATTTTTGTTTATTCTTTCTCCTCCATTAGCTTACAGGCTCTCTCTGTTTTGTTCCCTTTCCTGAAGGAAATTATAATTTTTTGTGTCAAAAATATTTTCTCCTACGAGTTGCAATCTTAAGGGCAAGGATGTAGCTTCAAAGGAAGGCAAATGCTTTCTCCTTAGCCAAAGTAACATAAAGGTCACTTTTTGTAAAACATCAGGATATTGAATTTTAAAATGTTTTCCATACAACATTAGTTTAATGAACAGCTCAGCCTAGTATTCTGCACCTAGTTCCAATCAAAACCAAGTTGTGAACAGATCCCTTCTTTACACCAATCTCACCTTTCAAGAACAAGCTAAAAGTTCATTAATTCCTTCCTCAAGAGGCAGTTACTTTTCAAGCTAAGGAACAAGCTAAAGAACAAGCACATACCTGGGCAAGGGAAGTTTAATTTCACTATAGAGTAAATCATTTTTTCAAGGAAACCAGAGGGCGCGTCATACAGCATCACTGAATATTCTAATATGAGATGAAGCTGTTATGCTTCCTTATGAACTTTATAAATCTTCATTTTTATGAGGCTTAGAATTCATCCCCCTTCCCTCTTCCACTGTTTTCCCGGGGTCACAGTTGTAGTATAGTTTGCCCAATGGATTTCGCATGGTCATTGTACCTGGAATATGTCACGCTCTCTACTCCAATCGCCCCCAAACTCTTCTCAGCAGAGATAGGCTTAAAGCAGCTTGCTTTTAGGCGGCGACGCAAACACACGTAGCCAGTTGAGCGACAGCAAGCAACCAAATGGCTTTGCTGGAGGCCCCCTGCGTTGCACGGGTAAAGCCCGTTGCAAAATACAGTCCTTTCATTTATTCCTCTGTTACTATTTATGAGACTTGTCAAGGCTGCAAGGGCATGCGCAGCCTTCCCACCACACAGGACCCGCTGGGGTCTCCGGCTCCCCTAAAATTAAACCACTGTCTTTCGTTCCGACTCATGTTTAGCTGTTGTGCGTATTTTACAGATAAAGGAAGGATCCTGTCCACAGACCCAATTCTAAGGGCCGCCTTCTCCCCCACGGAGGAAGAAGCTTCCTGGCAAAAGGACGAACAGGTGCGACGCCCGCATTTCGCAGCCTCTCACCTGGCCGGCGGGCTGGGCTACTGTCCCCACTCAGCAGCTAGGGACGTGGGCCCCGCGGCGGCGGCCACTTGGGGTCTGCCGGGTCCCCTCTCTTTCCGCCTGCGCTCGGCCTCGGACCCCACACTCAAAAGCGCCTCACGCGTTCCGCCTTAGGCTCACTGTCCGATCTCGCCAGACAGCGTCTGGATGGGACCGGGAAACGGCGGCCGTCACAGCTGTTCAGGTTCTGGGATCCACGCTCAGAGACGACAGCGCTGGTGATCACCAGAAGGCCTGCCGGCTCCCGGGAAAGAAAAATCCGTCCACAGTCCAGCGGCTGACATTTCCCAGTCAGCCGTAGCGCCGCCCGCTTCCGCCTCCCCGCCTACCCCATGGGCCGACCAGTCCCGCTCCCGCGGGGGGTTGTGGGTATCTGGAAGGCGGGTAAAGCTGCAAGGGAAGGAAGTTAGGGCGAGCCCGTCGGACTACGAAACGGGACGGAAACTACAATTCCCAGCAGGCCGTGGGGCCTCAGAGTGGGGCCGCGAAGCAAAGCGGGCTGTAGAGTCTTGCGCGCGCGGTGGGGATGGAACGTTGCTAGACTTAGCGGGTCTGGCTCCTAGGGGTCCGAGCAGCACGCTCGGAGCCGCCGCGCGCCAAATCGGGAATCCGGGAGGCCAGCAGCTCTGCAATTAATGCACGTATTTTAAACTCCCGAGCCTGCGGACGCTATGCACAGGTAAACGGATTCAAAAAGGGAAGAGCATGAATGGACCCTCTTAATAATTCTTTTAGGCCGCGAATATCGCTACTGGCTAATATTGTTAGTAATGCTGTTAAGTGAATGGTTGCTTAGCCCCTTCTTGGGGAAAGTGTGAATGGATGAATGCCTTAGTGCGGGGATCAGCGTGCGGTTTTATCTGGCTTCCTTAATTGGGCTTTTCTGCCACCGTTTTCAATCAGTGTATGATTGCCCTCTCTCTCTCCTTGTCTGTTCCCTCCGCTGGGAGAAATTCTTGAGGCCTTCTGCAGGATCGTAAGTCAAAGAGCCTTCTCGATTTGTTCTTTTCATTTCTTCATCTTCTTGGTAACTCTCCGTGGGCACGTAAAAAAATGCGATTCTGTTAGCTGCTGTGAAGGTTTTCCACAATACATAAACTGCAGCTTCTTTAATGCCTTCCTTGGAATTATTTATGGGTGTGTTTTCGAAAGGAACCGGGGATATTGTGCACTTCTGCAGGAAGCACCTCCAGGAGATTCCAGACCTGAGTAGCAACGTTGCCACCAGCTTCACGTGGGGATGGGATTCCAGCAAGACTTCTGAACTGCTGTCAGGCATGGGGGTCTCCGCCCTGGAGAAAGAGGAGCCCGACAGTGAGAACATCCCCCAGGAACTATTCTCAAACCTGGGCCACCCGGAGAGCCCCCCACGGAAACGGCTGAAGAGCAAAGGCAGTGAAAAAGACTTTGTGATTGTCCGCAGGCCTAAGCTAAATCGAGAGAACTTTCCAGGTAAGGATATGAGGGTAAAAATGTAAGTTATGCAAAGGGTGGATTTAGCTATGTTGTTGGGAAACCTTTGTTCAGGGATCTTTACCATGGGTTCCTTTTAAGATTGCCTAATTCTGAAGCTGTTTTTTCAACACAATAGGGCAAGTCGTCAAGTATGCAGGAATCTTGGTAGGTATATATGTGTGTGTGTGTGTGTGTGTATATATATATGTGTGTGTGTGTGTGTGTGTGTGTGTTCTGGTGCATAATCACCTTGAAAATTTTAACCCATGAGAAGACATTCCTGCCTTTTTCCTTAGAAGGGAATCTGTCTTCCTAAAGGTGCCACCAATTAATAGAAACATAAAGCAGTGGTCTTCTTATAGGATTCTTTTGCTTTGTACCCCTGAGTGAGCTTTTTGCCTTAATCGCTTAAGTTATTTATCAGTGGACTGCTGAAGTGAACGTTCACCTAAGTGGGGGAGAATTATCTCCCCAGGCCCACTCCCACTCCCATATTGTCTTCTCTGGTGTGTTCTGTCTCCATTACTGCTGACACTATCTGTTTAATCACCCAACCCAAAAACCTGAGAGTCAGTCCGATTCCCACCGCCCCCAACATCCACTCATTCATTGCATCTTTCCCTCTTCTCTGGTAACTATTTCTCAAGTTCTTATCGTCTCTTGCCTGAACTATTGGAGCGGATTTATAATTCCAACCTTCTTCTCCCCAGATCTATCCCCTAGAACTAGAATGGATTGACTGAAAAACTATTTCTTCCCTCCTTAATAGCTCCCCATCCCCTAGTTTCTCAAGCAGGTGAATGAGTGCCTCCCAGAGTGAACCAGAACCCTGGAGTATGCAAAAGCCATAGGGTAAATAAGGCATTGACCTGGGGTTATCAGTTTTTCTTACTAGTAAGCTATTTAAAACAGTAATGCAGCAAATATTTGCTGAGCACATACCATGTGCTAGGCAGTGTTCCAGGTGCTGGAGATACAGCAGTGGGCGCAACATAACATTTCTCCTCTCAGGGAGCATCCATTCTAGTGAGAGAATACAATAAACACAGTAACTATTTTTATATAGTATGTTAGAAGGTGATAAGTGCTATGGCTAAAACCAAAAATGGAACAAGCCAAGAGGGAATGCAGGTCCTGGGGTGGGAAGATAGAGTACACTTTTAAACCAGGTATTGAGGGAAAGCCTCAACTGGACAGTGACCTTTAAGCAAAGACATAAAGGAGGCAAGGGAGTGTGCCATGCAGATATCATGGAGAAAAGAGCTCCAGGCAGAAGGAATAGCCAATGCAAAGACCCTGGTGCATAAATGTGACACATTTGTTCCGGGAACAGGGAAGCCATATTCTAAAAGTAGAATGAGCAAAGGAGAGAGTTGGGAGAGATCGGGCTGGAGGTAATGTTGAGCACAGTTGTGATGGGACCTGATTTAACCTTCTAAAAAGGACACACTGATGTGTTGAGACTCAACTACGGGGGTGTCAAGGGTAGAAACTTAGGGTCTTTGTTAAATTTCATATTTTCAAGACAGAGTCTTGCTCTGTCGCCCAGGCTGGAGTGCAGTGGCGTTCTCTTGGCTCACTGTCTTCACCTGGATTTGAGAGATTCTCCTGCCTCAGCCTCCTAAGTAACTGAGACTACAGGCATGCACCACCATGCACAGCAATTGTTTTGTTTTTTGTAGAGTTGGTGGGGGAGGTCTCACCATCTTGCCCAGGCGGGTCTCAAACTCCTGGACTCAGGCGATCCTCCAGCCTTGGCCTCCCAAAGTGCTGGGATTACAGGAATGAACCACCACACCTGGCCAAAGTTTGGAATCTTGTTGGGGGTGAGGGTGGTCAGATTCCAGATATATTCCGACATTAAAGTCAACAGAATTTAGGAGGCTGTTGAAATCATATGTAGAAGAGGTGATTAGAGTCTAAACTGAAATCAGGTGGGGGATGATGGCGAAGAAGAAACAGATAAAAGATTTAAAGACAAAGTCTTGCAGACCCAAGGTAATTAAGTATATTCATAAATTCTCCCATCTGGTTTCCTTTGCAGAAGGGTTGATAGATTGGTTGTTTAGTTGGTTGGTTGGTTGCTTGCTTTGGCAACACATATACTAAAACTGGAATACAGAGAAGATTAGCATGGCCCCTGCACAGGATGACATGCAGATTTGTGATGCATTCCACTTTTTTAATTAAAAAAAAAAACACATTTGTTTACAGCCTTTTCTTTAGGAAAGAGAACTTTGCCCAATTTATGGTTTGAGAATATATATCAGGAGTTGGATTAATTAGAGAAGCAGTAGAGGGTCGTAGTGAAGTCAGTTCTGGGTTTGAATCCTCATTCTTGCATTTATCAGCCTTGGAAAGTTATTTGAGCTTTCTGTGCCTTAGTTCCTTTATCTGTGAAATGGAGTGCTGTAATAATACCCACTTCATAGGTCATCGTGAAGATTAAATGAGAGTGACGTAAAACCCTTAGCATGCCACTGACACATAACAATAAATAAGACAAAATTCCTGACGCCAATTTTGGAGGCTAGTGGACTTTTATCTTTTGTTTTTAATATTGTTAGTCTGACCCTGTTAGTGTAAATTTTTTTTTTCTTCAAAATTTAGTGTTCACTGCTATTTTTTGTGTCTGGAATGTAGCCCTAACAATTTGGTGCTTGACCAACCAAATGTGGTGAAAGATACTTCCTGCTAAGATGAACAGATTTTTATTAACTTGTCCAGTGCCGATAGCTTTTGACATAGAGTGTGATTGCCAAATGCCCTTCCACAAGTGAAAAAGATTTTTTTTTTAAGCAAGGCACTGTGGGAACAAGACAGAAGTTTCCGGAGTCTTTGCTATCTCCCAGGAATTTGCAAGTCAAGTTCAGGAGAAAATACAGTAAAAAATAAGAGCAGTTCACACACAGCAATACATGGAGACTCATAGATTAGCGGCAGATGAGTAGCTTAGGCAGTGAGTGCTGCAGGGGGCCAGGGGGATCCTGTGCACAAATCACCCAAAGAGTCCCAGAGGCAGAGGCCTCCTGCGGTGATTCCCATTCAGGTGGATGTGGAAGATCTTCCTCCTTCCACTCAGCAAAAAAGAAGGTTCTGAGGAAAGAGAGGGATCTGAAAATGGTGTAATCAGTGTCTTGATTGTTAAAGCTGAGTTCAAAGGTATATATCTGAAGTGAGATGAAGTGAGAAAGAAAGAATGGTGACTTTTATGTTTATTACCTAAGGAGAGGCCCAGAGGGAAACCAATGTATGTGGACTTACACACAACAGAGGTTGCTTAATTGGTATGGAGTGGGAAAGGGTGAACTCAGTGATGCAGGATGAGGGACAGCTGCTCTAGAGGATTCCCAATGGGCCTTTGGAAGCCTGGGCCTCCAGTGGAGCCGGATTGTCATTCCAAGGAGTTTTGTCTGCAGTTGTCAGGACAGGTGGCTACTAGCTTTGCCAGGATTAGCGTAGAATAGGCCACACCTGCTGTACATAGATATCTGATGACTGGTTCTGGGCTGCGAGTTTTTGTTCTTTGCTAAGCAGTTTCTCCCTGCAGGCCCCAGTCCAGCCTTACATCTGGCAACTAAATCCTCTTCATCTGTTTATCTTGGAAGATGAAAGCTCTGTGGCCAACCTGTACTAGAACAGGTCTGATTGGCCTTTGGAGTGAGTGTATGGAAAGAGTTGGGGAGGAAATGGCCCAGCAATGAGGTCAGTATCAGGCAGAAAGGGGACAATTGCATTTTATTTATGGTCATGAAATGCTTGTCCCCCACCCCACCCTTTAAACAGGTGATAGCCATGAAAATGGAGTTGAACTAATTTGTTGATCAGCTCTTCCATGACTCTTAAATGCTTGAAATTCCAGACCCTAAAGTGGTTGTCAGACTAGAGATACTAAAATTTAGTGTATATCAGAATCCCCACGGGAACTTGTTCAAAGTGCAAAATTCCTGAGATTCTGATCCGGGAAGTCCTGGCCTGAGCCTGGGAATCTGTCTTAATACCCTTAGGCAAGCATTTTTCTCCAACTTTTTTTTAACCAGTAAGAAACATATTTTACATTGCAATCCTGGGTATGTATCTGAAACAGCAGTTTTACAAAACTATATTTCCCCTTACTAAGATATTTTCTATTCTGTTCTAGTTCATTCTTTAAAATATATGTACATATATGCTAGTCAAGCTCACTAAATTGATTTCATGACCTATGTGAGTCTCAGTCTACAGTTACTGAAGTCAGCACTGGAAGAGCCTTTATGGGATCTTCACCAGTCATCTTTCTTTGTTCCATAGCTTCCTTTCATTCATCCATTAAGCAAATATTTCTTGAGCACCATTCTAGGGATTGGGACTACAACACTGAACATAACAGGCAAGAGACCCTGCCTCATAGTGCGTATACACTGTTGCATATTTTTTCCAAATCCCAGCTCCTGTTGTTTCTTCATTACACACCCTACACCTCAGGGTTGAGCAAGTCTTTCATAGAAATAAAAGGTTGTGGAACTGAAAGGGTACATGGGGGAATCCTTGTTAAGTTTGGCTGTGTTTTGTTTTTTCAGTTTTGCCCACCTTAGCCAAAAAAACAAAAACACCCAAAGCTAGCATGGTCTCAAATGTATTCTTTATGGTTTGTGGGAAGAGGAAGGAGAACTCATCTGGGATGGCACAATCTGTTTGTAGTTCCCCAGAAAGAAAGCATGGGGTATTGCTACTTAAAACAAGCCAGCAAAAGCAATCATGAGGTGAGCACCCCCAACTCCCTGAAGAAAATGCACACACACACAGAAACAAGTATGAGTACCAGATCCTTAGTGCACATTTCTACAAGTATAATTTGATTATGCTTAAATATCATCAATTTTTTAAGTCAAAAGTTTGATTATGATTAGGATTACTTTGAATTTTCAGCTTGAATCTGAGTGGAGTGGAGAGATGTTCTGAGAAATAAATATCAAGTAAGATGAGTTACCTACACTGCAAAGATGGATTGCACAGAA